GAAATATTTAAAATAAACGTTCATTTTGTCAAAGTCGCTTATTTCTCAAAAATATACATAGGGTGTTATTTTATTTTATTTTCTTGTTAATTAACCATAATACGAGAACTAACCTTGACAACAACCATGAATTTTAAATTTCTACGTACGTACGTACGTATTTGCCCAAGCATGGAATGTTCTTATTACACAGATATTACAAAGCAATTCTTGGATGCGGTCGTTTCATCAAAACATCCACTAGTCAAAAGATATATAAATCCGATGTACCCGATTGATATCTTTTGTATAAAGCCGATTATATAAAACAGGATAATATTAATGTCTAATTAACCATGCTCAAAAAAATCTTTTCATTTATATAGTAGTGGGTACAATTTTTGCTTTGTCATTCGTTTTCGCTGAAGAAGTATCGGATGTGATTACCTTAACAAAAGCCAATTTCAACAAAATCGTTAGTCCGGAAAAATTTATTCTTGTAGGATTTTTTGAACCTAGGCGTCCACGTTCCAAAATATTAGGTAGTTTATACCGTTTCTTTAAAATCCTTACTACTATATATACTTATATTAGTACGTCGGAAATTTTATATAAATAGCACTTGAATACGAAGCAGCAGCTACCGCCCTAAAAGCTGACAACATTAAGCTTGCCAAAGTTGACTGTACAGTTGAAACAAATCTTTGCGCAGAATATGAAATTAGAGGATATTCTACTTTGAAGGTTTTCAAAGAAGGCAAACCAATAGAATACACTGGTAATAGAAAAGCTGCCCTTATTATAAGTTATATGAAAAGGTAAAAATTTTCTTAGGTCGTTCAACATAAAAGAAAATGGGTTTTCTAATTTTTAAACTGACATTTCTTTAGACAATCAATACCGACTGTTTCGGATGTCAATGTTGATAATCTTGATACCTTTAAAGATATAAATGAAGTTGTAATTATTGGATACTGGGATTCTGAAAGCCAAAATGAACGGGATATTTTTATTACAGTTGCTGAAAGTTTACGTAATGATTATGCATTTGGTCAAACGGAACAAAAAGAGGCAGCAACTATGAATGAAGTCACAGCACCAGCTGTTGTCCTTTATAACAAATTCGATGAGGACAAGTATATATTGAAAAGTCCATTCACAAAAGAGCAATTAGAAACCTTCATAAAAGCTTACTCCGTTCCATTAATGGCAGAAATTGAGGTTGAAAACTATGATTCGTACATTAATTCTGGATTACCTATTGCATTCTTATTCTATGAAAATGATGAGCAACGTGTCTATCTTGGTAAAGCTATAGAGCCAGTCGCTAAGAATTTCAAAGGTCAGGTAAACTTTGTATATATCAACGCCAGTAAATTCGGACGTCATGCTAAAAATATTGAGTTGAAACAAATATGGCCAGCTTTTGGAATTTATAATCCAGTTGAAAATTCCAAATATCCATTTAGCCAAAGCGAAAAAATTACTACAGTAAACATTCAAGCCTTCGTTTCAAAATTTGTTAAAGGAGAAATTCCTCCAAGTATCAAGTCTGAATCTATCCCGGAGAATAATGATGGGCCAGTAACTATCTTAGTAGCGCATACAATTAAAGACATTGTATACAACAAGACCAAAGACGTTTTTGTCTTATTCTATGTTTTAGGTATATTTTATTGGTTTTATTTCATTTTGGGAATGATTTATCATAAATATTAGTTACAAATTTTTGTTATTCATTTGTGTGTTATGTAGACTGCGAGGAACTTTCATCCATCTGGGACGAATTAGGCAAAGCTTATTCGAACTCTAAAGGCAAGATAATAATCGCAAAAATTGACGTTTTTAAAAATGAAATTCCTTCAAAATTCAATGTCACTGGTTGGCCAACAATAAAACTCTTCAAAGCTGGTGAAAAAGAAGAAATCGCAGATTATCCAGGTGATCGAACATTAGAAAATTTAATTGAATTCATAACCAAAAATACTGCAAACAAGATCAAAGTTAATAAAAATACTGAAGAAGAGAAGAAACCAATCGAAGAACTAATTGCATTTGTACTGTCCTCCTTTGTTAGTTTATTTTTAAATTTAATCAATTTAATCAAATCAGTAATTCCCGATTTACCAATCGATGTGTTTCTGATAGTATGGATGCCGAGTTATTTAGTTTTACTTTTATTTATAATCAATTTTTTAAAGCTGGTCAGACCACGTATCGGAACGACCCCTTTAAACATCGATAAGTTGCACGCTTTGAAATCTTCAGAATCACGTGATGAGACGACCTTTTAAACATCGATAAATATCGCACTTATAACTCCACATAACTGATCTACATTATAGAGTACGCAAGAAATACGATTATAAGCATGACTTGTATGACGCGTAAATTCTATGATCTCTAAGAACGCTCCAAATTAGCTGCTTATCATTTATATAATTATATGTTATACATCATCTTTTAAATTTGCCTATTATTAGTCGACATTTTATTTTCCAATCTCCACCGATTGAAAATGACTTGAATCAATTGCTAATGAGATTTGTATAATAAAATTAATTATTAAAATCATTGAATTCGCGTGAACGACATTTTAAATTA